TGGGAATTTTTTTAAAGCATTTATAGTAATAAGATATTTATAGTAATAAGAAATAATATTAGTTAATATTTCTGAGATGAGGTATTATGTACATTATTTACATTATTCGAACTATAGTCCTCATCTTTGTCGCCATATTTATTACAACGATTCGGCCGTTGTACGCTCCGGCCTTCTTCAGGTGGTTGGAATGTCAAACTTAACCCTTTATTTCGCTCACTGGAGTAGACTGTTCTAGTTCCACGTGCCAACGCCTTTATCCACTGTGCATAGTGGATAAAGGCGTTGGTTAGATCCAGTGACAGGACCCGAAGAGTTTGAGTTCAATACCCGGTTAAGGCAGTGGAGAACTTTCAGAGGAAAATTAACAGGAGATAACTGATAACTGACATCCATTAAACATGGCACGTGGAACTAGAACAGAGAGAGTGAAGAATGGACTAAGCATAAACTACAAGAAAACAGAATGCATGGTCATCAGTAAAAGGATGAGCCCGAAATGCGATTTTAAATATCTGGGAAGCGTTCTGACAGCGGACAGTAAATGCGAAACTGCGATCCGTAGACGTATTAGGATGGCCAAGGACACATTCCAAAAGCCGGGCAGAGTACTGCGAGACAAGGGGATATCTTTGGTAACAAAGGAAAGAATACTGAGCTGTTACGTGACATCTGTCCTTCTTTACGGCAGCGAATGCCGGACGATTTCCTCAAAGATGAAAAAGAGATTGGCGGCGACGGAGATGCGGTTCTACAGAAGGATGCTGAGGATATCCTGGACCGAGCGTGTGAGCAACGATGAGGTCTTGGAGAGGATGCAAACAAGGGGGTGGGGGCTTATACTTAACATCAGGAAGAGGCAGCTGAAGTTTCTGGGACACATAATGAGGAATGAGGGCCTGGAGAATCTGATACTCACGGATCAAAAAGGGAGAAAGAGAGACAAGGGAAAACAACACAACATACTTAGCGGCCTTAAGCAAGTGGGTGACAGAACGTGGTCTGGCGGAGGTGGCAGAGGGAAGGAACTTGTTGAGAGCTGCAAGGGATAGAGGGAGGTGGAGAGCCATGATCGCCTACGTCCTGAAAGGACACGACACATAGAAAGAAAAGAAAAAGAAAGAATTGAGGCAACGTAAACTTCTGGCACGAGTCACAGAAGTAAACAGCGAATAATCCCTGCCTAACGAGTAGGTAAATTGTTGGCAGAATTGGGATTAGGGGAGATAGGAAAAAGACAACCATTGCTAATAGCTACAAGTGACAAGAAATTGATGATAACCATGATTGCCAACGTCCCGAAGGGAGACAACGCATAGTAGAAGAAGATGAAGAAGAATCATAGGGAAACGTAACGAAACGAAATCGGCGAGGCTACATGTTGGTATTTCCGTCAGTCAGTTAAGTGCCATACGTGATACACGCTTGGGCGATCATGTCTCTTTCGATACATGACTGACGACGCAGATTTTTTTTCCCGCGGTAGGTTGCCATTTCTTTCAGCGTTGCCATCAAAATCTATAGAACTCGATCTGTCCTGCTATTTATCTATTGCTGTAGGAAGAAAAAGCGGATTTATACATTTCCCAAAGGTATTAGCCCGTAGGTGAATGTAATGGACTCGACGGGAATTCGAACTCGGCTCGCCAGTTCATCAAACTGAGCCGTTTATCCATTACACCAGCGAATGAAGGGGGAACTTACAAACCTAAAAAAAAAAAGAGAACTATGGGAAATCAAAGATGAACGCAAGATAAGTTGCGCGTATACACATATACACACCCATATATATATATATATATATATATATATATATATATATATATATATACACTTTGCGAAGAAGTCTAAGAAAAATGCCAAACCGAGTTGGTCTCCGTGGTTTCTGGTTCAAAAGTGGAACTATCTGATGAATATCTGATGAATGCCAGAGTCTCCGACGATTGGATAGTAAAAGACTCCTTCTTAAATATAGCACGTTGAACTAGAACAGTCTACCCCAGTGAGCGAAATAAGGGGTTCAATTCGACATTCCAACAACCTGATGAAGGCCGGAGCGTACAACGGCCGAAACGTTGCAATAAATATGGCGACAAAGATAAGGACAATAGTCCGAATAATGTAAATAGCCAATTGTATTAGTTTTTCAAGAATTAATGGTTTTAATTTTGAATCCAAATTAATCTTATTATTTCAAGCCTTTTTTAATGGATGCCTCTATTTGAGTAGACGGTCAGTTTATTTTAAACAGTATTTATTTCGTTTATCTGTCTGCACACTCGAGAAAACTTATTAAAGTATATGTGCACTCCGGTGGAATACGAACATCGTCTGATACGGTGTGATTTAACCGCTCGTCTAGGAAGAGCCTCACGATCATTTAAGTTTCTCTTTGCCTTCGTGGGAGCAGATGTGATCAAACCACTTGGCTAGAAAGAGCTTCACAATAATGTGAGGTTCTATTTGCCTTAAGGAACATTGATCCGGTGTGATTTAACCGCTCGGCTAGGAAGAGCTTCACGATCATGTAAGGTTCTATTTGCCTTTAATGTACATTCACTTCTTCAGATCTTTCTTAGAAAGCCCATATCTGTTTAGTTTTGTATCCGAAACGTAAACAAGGCAATTTCTAAAGAATTAATGGATTTTTATATTTCTTCCGACATATCTTTATTAAATCAAACGTTATTTTTAGTGGAGTCCAGTATTTGAATGGACGCTCTGTTTTATTTCAGACTGTAATTACTTCGTCTACCGTCCTGCACCCACGAGAATAAAAGTTAAAGGATAAATCATTGTAAATAAGAGGAAAATATTTCAGGTGGCGGGGAAAGTGAAAGTTGTACCCTTCATTATTGGTGCACTGGGAGCATCTGTGTTTTCCAAAAATAATAGAAAAAATGTAAATCCAATGACGAATTACGATTAAATAGAATACAGTACCTTACAATAAAATCTTTGCGTCAGGTTAGAATAAATTTTGAGTTGATATTTTCGTTCTTGTAATTTTGTTCATTTAAGAAAATAAAACGACATCTTATTTCTACGTGTTCACTTGGGGTAGGTCATGGTCACCCCCGTCTGTATAGATAGATAGATAGATAGATAGATAGATAGATAGATAGATGGATTTGGATGGATGAGTGTGTTTTTGTCCTGATTATTGACAATAAACCTAGATGCTATTTTTTCCTAATTAATTCCTTTCCCGTTGGGAGTTTACTTCCAGTTTGAATTAGAAATGAATATTGCAGTTAATTGAGATATTTTTCGATGAAAAATAATACTTCAGCAGAAATTAAAACAAAATTGCTTTGAATTCATTCGAATGAAATTTTTAGGTTTTGAGTATCTTGCATATTTTTTTTTTTTTACTCGTTAGCTTCTTTAGATGAAGTCTTTTCATATCTATCTATCCCACTATCTATCTATCTATCTCAACCTGTTCATTATCTATCTGAATCTGTTCATTATCTATCTATCTATCTATATATATATATATATATATATATATATATATATATATATATATATATATATAAAAAAATTTAGACAGCAATCCTTCTTTCATGCACATTTCATTGAATACGACATATATATATATCTCAATCTGTTCAATATATATATATATATATATATATATATATATATTATTTTTATTATAAGAGATTAGAACAATAACTTGTTGAAAAACGCTACACAATAGTGTTCATGTATATATATATATATATATATATATATATATATATATATATATATATATATAGATAGAGAGAGAGAGAGAGAGAGAGAGAGACATCTATCTATCTATCTATCTATCTATCTATCTCAGTCAGTTATAAGCGTTTTCCCTAGCGTCATGTCTGCATGAATTTAAGCGTGCTACTAGATTGGCAACTATGTCTCACCGTTTTATTATGGAACTAGTTAGATGCAACCGCCACTTCTACTCTAATAGTTTCTTTTTTCGCACTTCCCAGCTGTGAAACTCACTTCCGATTTCTTGCTTCCCTGGTAACTACAATCTTCAAAAATTTAAATTCAATATCAATCGCCATCTCCTGTCTTCTTGAACCTCGTTTTCTTTTTCTCCATGTCACTCCCTGCGTTCTAGTGACATTAAAGCCATGCTTGTGAAACGATTTTCAAAAAGACCTTATTCAATATTTCAAATGACATTGCTCCTTTCAAACATCATTAATTTATGTTTTATTGATTCAACGATTTACAGTGTAACCCGGATATAAGAGAAACCCGGATATAAGAGAGATTTTCTCTGGTCCCAAAGTGTTCCCATACTTACCTAAATAAAATAGACCAAACCCGGATATAAGAGAAACCCGGGTATAAGAGACTTCGTCTCCGGTCCCGACAACTCTCTTATATCCGGGTTACACTGTACAAGAAACCCAAACCGGAAAGGTGAAAGGTAAATATAAAAAGAGAAAAGAAATTGTAACGCATATTGACAGTGACTGCCGTGAATTATCTAAAAGAAGATTGACTGAGGAGGATGAGGAGGGAAAGAGGAGGAGGAGGAGGAGGAGGAGGAGGATTCACTTGGAACACAGTGTAAATGATCCAACTGTACCAATAGATTTGAATACAAATCATAGGTTATCACTGAAAATTGAAAAAATAGAAAGCATCACTTTTATATCGGTTTGGAGTCAGAATGTTTTTGTTTTTTTTTTAGATAAGAAATTGGAAATCTGTTCAATACCTTAGCCGACGGTAATATATATATATATATATATATATATATATATATATATATATATATATATATATATATATATATAGAACTTGCCAAAAAGCTACTGAATTTTTTTCGATATGAAAATTTCAGTGGAGTCCAAAATCCCTTGTGAATTGCAAACGTTACAAAGACATTAGAATATGTCGTGATGTGAATAATACCCACTTCCCTACAGAGAGAACGTCACGTGCCTCTCGCTACTCTATTGCTCTTTCCATGGCATGTGTTCTGACGAGTTACATTCGTTAGTTCCACCAACCCTGACCTTTACAACTGGGACCCACCATGCCACGCACACAAGAATGAATCACCCCCCACCCATTCCTTTTTAATTCTATTAGCAAGAAGTAATTTCAGCTCGAAGAGATTCTTTCCTAGAACTGCTGCTTTGTGGAACACCTTCCCGGCAATATATTTTCCCAATCACTACAATCTTGACCTCTTCATGTCTAGGGTTAACCTCTATCTTTCCTGTATAAACACATGAACTTCATTTCTTGCCTTTTCTTACGTTCATACAACACAACACAGTAACCCTCTACCTTGAGTGGCTCTGGGGCCTTGTATTTGGTGAACAGTGATATAAAAATACCTGAGATTTGTGCATCCTTACCGTTATTCGAACACTAGTCATGACTTACAGAGAATTCTAGTGCAGAATAGAATTCTAGTCGTAGAACTAATAATGCTGTACTCGAAAAAAATAAAACAATGAAATCATTGTAACATCATTATCTGCGGTGAATAAAAAAAATGGTGATTTTCAGATTGGGTCTACAAGAGGGATTCTAAAACTCACTGAAGTTGATGCCAATTTCTGCCAATTCTTTTAAATGCTAATAAGGACTGCAAGACGCTATGATATAAATATTAATACGTTCATCTACTTACTGTCAAGACGGTTTTTTCCGTAAACACACACACACACACACACACATATATATATATATATATATATATATATATATATATATATATATATATATATATATATATATTTTATATACTGTTTTTTTATATGAGGCGAGAAATATGGCTGGCTATATAATTACTGTGATAACTCCGAGTTCAGTTTTTTTTTCTGTAGCACTCTGCGGAGAAAAAATAGTCAAAAGAAGCGACCCGACAGTGCACTCGTTACACCTTGCCCTCGAGTCTCTACAAAGTTTATTGATGTAGAGAGCAGAAGAAAGAGAAATAACGAAGAAAAGAAAGAGAAAAAAGAAGAAAATGGAGAGAGAAACACTTCAGAAGAGGGGGATGGAAAAAAATAACACCAAACACAAAACGGTGAAGAGGGTGGATGAGAAAGGGGAAAAATGGAAGAAGGTAAAAAATATGGAATAATTAAATTGCAAGCAATATTTTTAGAAAGAAAAGGATATAAAATGAAAAGAAGTAGTTTGGTGAGTTCAGATAACCCAAATTAAAAAAAAAAAAAACGTACCGTTGTTAAATAGTGAGAGCCGGGTGGGGGGATGGGGTAGAGAGTGAGATCATGACTCCGTACACATTCGTGTATAAGTCGAGTTTTGAAACCCAAAAAAAGATTACTGATAAAGTGGCCAAAAATTAAACGAAAAAACATGAAAGGAATATCGAAATATGAAAGAAATAATAATTAAAAAAAAAGTAACAGAAAGAAAAAAGAAAAAGTTTAAAAAAAAAACGAAAGCTAAAACAAAGAAAAATCTCGAAACGTTTTTATTTTAGGAGAAAATTCCATATTTATTGTGTGTCTTTGACAAAACGATGATAATCAACAATGAGAATAAATGAGTGAAAAGAAAAAAAGTCTCACGTTATTAATTGTTTAACAGTTACTCTCAACCGGATATATATTAGGTTGGTGCATAATTATCAGGCGTTTTTATAGGCGAGTTATTTGTTAATAAAAATTGCTGTTTTGTTTACTTTTTTTAATAAAAATATTATTTTATTTTCAGTTTATAAAAGTGCGTGTCGATAGTGATACTCATTTAAAAATGTTATTGTTGAATTGTTATATCTTTTTTCTTAATAAATATTGTTTAAAAAATGCCTGATAATTATGCACCAACACAACGTAATAGGTTTTCTTGATTATGACTCTCGATTGGCTAGCCTTGCAGATTCAAGCACGTGTAACCCCAAAATATATCATCTAATATATATATATATATATATATATATATATATATATAGATGATGTGCGTTGTCTTGGATCGACTATTTATATATGCTGGTCAATGGTGCATTATGAGTTGTAGGTATATTGTATTATCTTAATAGTTAAGTTTTTGGTTTAGGAAGAAATGTTCTTTTTTTCTCATTCTTTTTATGAGACTTTCTAATTTATCTATTAATTTTAGTTTGTTGGTGGATGGCGGTGGGATGTGTATGTTTTTTAAGGAATTGTCGAAGTTAAATTTCCAATGTCCATGATAAGTAATAAATGTAGTGAAATTGTTCCACTAATCATCACGGGCTAAAATATTGCTGCCTTATATGGCCTGGTGTCCCTGCTGTGAGCTCCTTGATAAGATCCAAAGAAGAAGCAGCAATATCATTAGTCCTGATCTGGCGGCTCGGCTCGGCTTCAGTCACTTTCCCACTGCCGTGATGTTGCGTCTTTTCTATATATACTGGAAATTGTTCGGATAAGCTCTTTACTATGGTATTCATTGGGGTTTAGATTTTTATTTTTTTTTATTTTACCCCCACTTCACCAGACAATGAAGTGTACATATGGGGACTAGTTACGACTTTCATAGAGACATTACGGTATTATGGTGGATGTGGTAAGAAAGGTAAGTAAGGAATGCGCTGTTGTGGTGTAAAGAATATTGCTGTATGGTTGGGTCAGTGTTTCTGGCTAGACAAGTTTAACGTTAGGATAGAAGAAGAACGTCCTTCTCCCCATTCCCCATTTTGTACTTGTGCCTCATTTTGCAAATAAATTACAAATAAATATTGCTCTTTGCTATAGTAGCTAGGGTTGTTGGATTTAAGCGCAATACTAGACTGGCGGCGAGATATCATCAATTGACATTTGAGCCACAATTTCTATGCCAACAGTTTCTTATCTCGCACTTCTCGCTTGTGGAATTCCCTCCTGGCTCATTGCTTTCAAAACAACTTTAATCTGCAAAAAATGTAAATGCAGTGTCAATCGCTAACTACTGTCCTCCTGATTGCTATTTTCTGTTTCTCCTCATTACTAATATATATATATATATATATATATATATATATATATATATATATATATATATATATGCCCGTCCTTCGGATCAGAGGAGTTATCGTTTAGCCAGGTACGCCTTACCGACTTGGCCACGAAGAACAGTCACTCAGATGAGGCCAAATTTCGTGCTTTCAAGCAAAATTCCTCCTGTCATATCTCAGCAGTTTCGTATCCAGATGTAAAAATAAAGAATTTTTAGAATGTTTTTTATTAACTCGACAGATTTTTATCACTTGAAACGTTATTTTAGTGGATGCACGTATTTGAGTAGGAGCTCCGTTTATATAACGAATATATATATATATATATATATAATGATATATATATATATATATATATATATATATATATATATATATATATATGTGTGCGTGAATGTGTGCGTTTGTGTGTGCACGAGCCTCACTAGATTTAACTCAACTTTATTCAGCCGACAAGAAATTATATACTTTGCTAATCAGAACAGCACAGCTTTTATACTAACAAATTTTCGGCCGTTGTGCCCTCCGATCTTCTACAGGTGTCTGTCGTTGTCGGTAATCTCCCTTCTGATTTCTTACTTTTCTGATTAAAATCTTCAAACATTTAACTGCAACATCAATTGTCATCTTTTACTTTCTTGAATCTTGTTCCTTTTTATCCTTTCCTTAATCCCACTAAAGTCTCTTCTCATTCTCTTCCACTCCTGTAACCCGCTGCACTCTAGTGGCATTATCTCCTTGCTTAGAAAGGGAAACGATTAAAAATCTATCTATCTATCTATCTATTCATTTCTGTCTGTTCATATCTATCTATCTATCTATCTGTGCGTATATATTGTCTCAGATGATTTACCCATTTGTCAGCTGAATGCATAACTTTATTCTTAAAATTTCTTAATACCTTTTATTTATTAATTTTATGTAAGTTACCTTTTTCACCTGGTTTTCTCCCTGTCACTAAATATATAAAGCCTATAGAATCATTCACACACACAGACACGCACGTATATATATATATATATATATATATATATATATATATATAAAAAATAAATTCTTTTGTTTTTGTTTTATCTTATTAAAAAACGTGAGAAGTATACGGGTTACTAAAAGTTTTACGATAATAAAACGGAAAATACGCTTAAAATAAGACGCTTAAAATTAAAACAGTTTAATTTCGCCTGTATTTACATTTTACATTTTACATTTGACCGGTGATTACCATCAACCCTCTTCGCATCTCATCCCCGCATGAGGATGTATGGTCGTAGTCGCCGATCAGAAAAACGTAGCATTGGAGGGAATATGGGGAGTAGTGGCTGGTTTTTGAACACCACTTAACAAGACACCAGAAATGTTGAAACAAAATGGCTATTTTTTGTAGTGATGTTGTAACATACTTATATATAAATTTTAAATAAATAATTTATATATATATATATATATATATATATATATATATATATATATATATATATATATATATTGTAGCAATCTATCTTTTATATAAGTTTTCATTAAAAACGACTGACTGACAAGGTACTGCGGTTATATATTTTATTTAATTTTTCTTCTGTTCTTATAATCTTCTTTTTCTCTGGAAATAATTTATGTAGAAATTGTCCGAATGTTCGAGCGCTTACGGATAGATTTTTTTTTTTTTTTTTTTGACATTATCAAGGATGATTTTATTTTTACTTTTAACTGAATGTATGGATTGTTTTAAGTATGTATATAGAGTTATAGGAATGTTTCATTTTCTTCATCCACATGTAAATAAAGGCTAAAAATAATGGAAGCATTATTAATAAAAAAAAATATAAAGAAGCCAACACTCAATAACATCAACATTACCGAATTTTTGTAAATGTGCTGACAGTGTTTGGAAAATAAAGCATTCTTATAATTCTTGATATATAGATCGTCTGTATGTTGTCAAACCCGAAATGTAAATCACTTTATTAAAAAACTTTCAAAAATAGAATACATGTTTCTAAAAATTTATTTGAGAAAGATTAGCTGCTTTAAAGGTTATTCCCTCTGATTGAAAACAAATGTTACTTACTTTAAGTTTAAATATCGCAGAAATGCATTTTTAACACGGGGGTGGGTGTTTTTAGTAGGTGTTGAAAACTATCTTGATAAACTTACGTTCGGGAATTTGTTCGTAGGGGAACAGTTGCTGCAATAAGTACTTGACGCATATAACGTGAACGTCTTTTTTATATAAATTTTTAACTGCTCAGTAATCTTTAAAATCTTGGAAAATATTTAGATATTTTATTGAATTTTAAGTACCTTAGCTTTATACTCTTACTTACGAAGACGCTCGTTGGGGAAATGTTAGAAAATTACCGATAAATTTAAAATTTCTGTAGTAATCGCTTTTATTTTCCAATAATGTCGTGTATAAACGTCCGTATTTACAAAAATATTGGCACTTTTATACACACAAAAAATAAAAAATCTTTTTAGTTACTGGGGGTCGCTGAATTGTAGTAAACTTTTCCATTTACGATTAGTACATATAGTTTTTACTTAATAACAATATTACCTAAATATTTAATTATTATTATTTAAAATAAAATATTAAACGGAAACAATCCTTGTAAAACTTCATTATTCGTTGAAAAATGTTTTCTTAAGCAATAGTGTCCATAATAAATCTTATTTATAAAAGCAATTAAGAGCTTTTCTAATTAATAATGTCTTTTATTATATTTTTTTTTTTTACGATTTAGATCAGCTTTTCTTTAACTAAGAGTCCTGTTTGACAAAAAAAAAACTGATTTAAATTCTCCAAAGATTTCTGCTTTTAACTAATATAAACATTAAACGTTGCAAAAATGAATTTCTCGTAATTTCATAAAATTAAATATGTTGGCGGTGACAGGTGTAAAAAAATTTACCAAGCTTTTCTAAAAAAAAAAAGTAATATTCCTAAAATAATTTAATTCCTTTTTGAATAAGTTCTGAAGGTTTCATTAAAATCTGACAATTTTCTGATTTTTTGCAAGAATTTTCAAATCAATGTGTTTTTTTTTTCATCGCAAAAAAAGGTTAAAATTCCATATGCTAAAATTTATGGTGAATCGTTGATGCAAGAAAAACAAAAAAAATATGAACATTTCGAAGTTCCTAGAAAAGGATTAAAAAATATAATTTATGTCTGAATTTCTGCGACGAAGAGAGGTTGTTATTTACATTATTTACATTCAGACTATTGTCCTCATCTTTGTTGTTGTTATCACAACGTTTCGGCCGATGTGCCCTCCGGCCTTCCTCAGGTGAGGAAGACCAGAAGGCACAATGGCGTAAAATTCGGTAATTTTGACAAATTAGGAAAATTCGGTAACTATGAAATAAAAGTTGATTGAAAATTGATTTTAGGGCCGTTCTGGAGTGGGGACTTGGGGGGGCTAAGTTCCCTTCCTTTATATTCTTAAATAACTGTAAATCGTGGGGTGCAGTTAAAACCCCACTGCAACAATACCAGTGTCATACTTACAAAAGTGGGGCTTAGGGGAGCTAGGCTTCATTCCCCAATATTTTTTAAAAGTATTATTAACTATGAGGGGCTAGATACAGTGTCAGGGCCGTACTTCCTGGATGATGGGGAGTGGGTCACAATGTGCTGACCGTGTTTGGAAAATAAAACATTTTTATAACTCTAGAGATCGTCTGTATGTTGTCAGATCCTAAAAGTAAATCTCTTTATTAAAAATCTTTCAAAAATAAAATATACTTTTCTGAAACTTTATTTGAGGAAGATAAAAAGTCAACTTATAATCAATTTTTATTTCATAGTTACCAAATTTTCCTATCCTGTCAAAATTACCGAATTTTCCGTTACCGAATTTTCGTAAATTCCAACGACAAAGATGACGACAATAAACCGAATTTAAATAATGTAAATTAATACAATTTAATATTTTAAAAAATCTTTTGGTCTTTCCTCTTAATAATAGAATAGAGATTTTCACGATTTTATTTTTATTAAGTTTGGGGCATTTTTTCATCGTGGATGCTCATTTTTAACGAATCTTTCGAGGTACCTATAAGTGTTTCTACTAGTGCAATATTGAGATCTTATGGTTAAATATTTCTTGACAATTTGTGCGAACGAATACAAATGGGAAAAGTTAGAAATAACCTGCAAGTTTCAAAATTAACGAAATATTTCACCTTGAAAAAATCAAATTATCTTGACTCATTTTGCCGAAATGTTTCAGGTTTCAGCTTAAAATACTCTCAGGCTCCTCGACTGTCCGCTTCTTGAAGAAAGGTAATGTTTATCGTTGGAATTTTCGTTAAAATGAGTCCAAATTTTCATGTAATATTGTACGTTGTTACCATAATTTGGTTTTTGGTTCGACAGAAAGAAATGGAATCGATTTAAACACAAGGCATTTCGTAATTTTTATTCCAGTGACTAATTCCGAGATCGGCAACTAGAAAAACAGTTTGTCTACACTACAGGCTTTACTTAACCGAAACGAACTTTCTTGTTCAATTTAAAGAATTATTTTTCAGGTCCAGATCTATTTACATAAAGAAGATGATCTATGTAAAAACATTGGCTACGGGACAACGAAATAACATTTTAGCTGCAGGTTAATATTCTAGTTGATTCTTCTTTCTTTTCTTTTCTTTTTTTCTGGACCACTCCTTTTGCCCTCCATTAAAATTTGTCCGATAACTGACACGGCGTAAGACGGTCGTCTGCCTCGGTTCAAGCCAACCGTGACGACATGGCGTGAAGCGGCGACAGTTTTAACAACAGACAAGACTAAAAAAAGAGAAAAGAATCACGAGAAACCCATCTTCGAATTCCCACAGTTGGGAGAACTAAAAAAAAATAAAGAAAAAAAGAATCGGAAAAGGAATACATTTAGCCATTTTTCAACCACGGAGTAGTCTCTAAAATTTGATGGGCTCATGCAAAAAGGTCTTTAATTTTGCTCTCTCTCTCTCTCTCTCTCTCTCTATATATATATATATATATATATATATATATATATAGATAGATAGATAGATAGATAGATAGATAGATAGATAGACTTCTCTGTTCTTCTATCATACCCTCTCCACTTTATGTCTCTCTCTCAATCTCTCTTTATATATATATATATATATATATATATATATATATGATTTCTCGTATGGACTAAAAGTTCCCTTTGACATTATTTCTATCAATTACAATTTGGTATTATGCATACACACACACACACACACACACACACACACACACACACACACATATATATATATATATATATATATATATATATATATATATATATATATATTCAAATTATTCATACAAAAACAAATACAAAGGTTAATGATTTAATTGGCGAGAAATCCATCATCGAGAACAATTCAAATAATATACAAAACCCCCGAACCTGTTTATGCATGAAAAGATCCTTGTTTTATAAATTTCAGTTGCATAAGTTCTTATTATTTTTACAAGCTTTCGTCTGTTCCTACAGACATCCTCAGGTATGCAATAGATTTTGTTCTTGTTTTTACTCTCAGTAATAAGAGGACAACGAAAATAGATGTATTGTAATCCGAAAAATGCTATGAGAAATGTGTTGTTGTTTTGGAGCGTGCAGTCGCAACGCTGAGTTTGAATTTAAATTTTGAGGTTGTGCGTTCTTGTACAAATATAGTGATAAGAGAATTCTTTTTTACTGGTAAATTTTCCGTCAATTTGGTGTGATATATATATATATATATATGTGTGTGTGTGTGTGTGTGTGTGTGTAATTAAATAATATAGACAAGTGTTGTCGATTTATGTTATGCAAATCCATAGCGTCATGACTTCACATATGACCACGCGAGTGAATTCGAGAAATATTAGTCTGTTTCTGTTTAGTATGGAAAGCCGTTGGTATAAACCAATGGAATTCGGAAATATTAGTATGGAAAGCCGTTGGTATAAACCAATGGCTTCTGTTACCAATTATAGACATTTAAGAAAACTTGTGGAGATTTCATAGTTTATTTTGTTCAGGTTTGGTTTCAACTGTTTTATGTATATAGCTTCAAGAATTTTTAGTTTTTGTTTATTGTTTTTTCATGTTTAAGAATAATTGTGTTTTCCACGAGGATTTTACGGAATTGTGTATGCGGACAGGCATGTTGTTTTAAATGCCTAAATATATATATATATATATATATATATATATATATATATATATATATATATATATATATATTATTTATATTGGTATATATATTAAAGCGCTCAATATCAGTGATAGAGCTAACATATTTATTTGGATTGGGCACCTCGACGTGGTGTAAAGGATAGCAAGCTTGTCTCGTTAGACTGAAAAGTGAGTTCGACCCTTACTGGGTGCCCCATAATTTCGGCCCTGTGCCACATCTAAACTACGCTTAGAAAATAGCCATATTTGGATTGATGTGAGTTTTTGACCCTGGGTTTCATGCTCTCTAGTGAAACCCAGGGTCACAAACTCACATCAATCATCAATCTATATATATATATATATATATATATATATATATATATAAAGAACAAAAAAAAAATTATTCATATTGTCCTTTTACAGATATGTTTTATTTATATGCACACGCATACACACACATACACATACACGCATATATATATATATATATATATATATATATATATATATATATATATATATAGTTTAGGCAGCAATCCTTCGTTTATGCATGTTTCATTAAAAACGACAGACAAGGTACTACGGTTAAGCTTTTTATTTAATTTTCCTTTTGTTCTAACAAGAGCTTTCTTTTCTGGACAAAGGGTGTGTAAGAACTGTCCAAATGTTTTATATTTCCGAGCGCTTTCGGCTATATCTTTAGCCATTATCAAGGATGATTCGATTTTTCAGCTTAATGTGCGTTCTGTGTATGCCTTAGTGTGTGATAGGGATGTTTTATATATATATATATATATATATATATATATATATATATATATATATATATAAAGTGGTTATTTAAGTCAACACCCAGCGTTGACAATTTGACATTAAGATTACGCTTAGGCATGAAACAGACATTGGTCATGTTCACTTTTATATTTACAGACGCTTTATCCCGGATACTGGGCGCTTTAACTCTTTAAATATAGCATACCTTAAAACTATATTTTTATCATACATATATGCATTATGGAGAAACAAATATTCATACACAGACAAATTATTAATCTTTTGTATTTACCACTCATGAATAAACATACTTTTCATATAATTAACTGTACACGGATGCATAATAACTAAATATGCACAGGAAACAGAAAAAAAATTGTTATTTCGCATTTCAACACATAACTATGCGTCTCCTCAGGCGATTGTAAATTACAAGCGAGTGAACAATTAATGTGGTTTCAGGAGACGCATTGTTATGTGTTGAAACACGATTGCAATTGTGTTGCGATTCTGACATGTTTTTGTTGTAATATCCTAAAATAAATAATATTGCTCTACTATGTATTGAGCTCTCTTTTAAATTAAATGTTACGAACGTTGGAAGTGTATTCTATTCGTTCAAATCGTACCTGGATATATATATATATATATATATATATATATATATATATGTGTGTGTGTGTGTGTGTGTGTGTGTGTGTGTGTGTGTGTGTGTGTGTTTTGGACAGCAATCACTCTCTATACACGTTTCGTCAAAAACGACTGAGAATGTACTGCGGTTAAGTTTTTTATTTAATTTTTCTTATGTTCTTATAGTTTTCTTCTTTTCCAGACATAAAAGAAATTGTCCAAATGAACACGGCCACAATGTGCTGACCGTGTTTGGAAAATAAAACATTCCTATAACTCTAGATATATGCATATAAACCATCAATGCGTTCAGTTAGATGTAAAAAAATAAAATCCTCCTTGATAATGAATAAAAGTAGAGCCGAAAGCGCTCAAACATACATAACATTATGACAATTTCTATAAAATTTATGCCCAGAAGTGAGAAAAAATTATAACAGAAGAAAAATTAAATAATTATATATGTGTGTGTGCGTGTATTTTCTAAAGAATTAATGATTTTTTTTATTTATTTATCCGACAAATTAGTGATAAAAATCCAGCAGATTAATAAATAAAAAAAAAAATACGTTATTCTTTAGTAATGTTTACGTTTGGATACAAAACTAAGCAGATATTATAATTTCGAAGTATCTGTGACGAGGAGAATTTTCTTAAAGGTACTGTTCAGACCTTGCTTGATTGGCAAAGCCTCTTAGCGGTCGAGTCGGTTAACACATGTCGGATCCAACGATGATTTCCTTGCCGGAGAGCGTATGTTTTTCTCTGATATGATCTCTCGAATATTCAGGCCGGTAGACGTAAATAAATAAATATACTGTTTAATAAATAAACGCAGCTACTCAAATATGAGTAACCTCTAAAAATAACTTTTAAAGTCATATGTGTGTGTGTGTGTATGTATAGTACGTCTAAAGATATTAGGCAAATCAAATAAATTTCAATAATACCAATTTGTTTTGAAGAATTTTTGTTAAATTTCAAACGATTAATTTAGACGTCCGTCGAAATAGACATAAAGTTAAATTTTTAGGTAGTCTCAACAAGTTTTAGTAAAGTTATTGGATTTATTATAACAGCCACAGTCTGAAGTTATTATGCAAAACCAGAAAATCACTTTTTACTTCAATAAGAAGATAAAATCATCAAAAATCGATCAACAGCTAAAGTAGAAGAAATAAGAAACGTATAATGAGTCTTTGAAGCATTTACATCTTAACATAATTACCCTTCTACTCAATAACAGCCAGAAAACTATTATCCAAAGATCCTGGTAATTTTTTTTTTTTTTTTTTTTACTTTCGCAGGTTCAATTTTCGACTTGGTGCCCGCTTTGCTGTCATATTGTTAGCTACCTCCTTATAATTTCATCTACACAATTGACCATAGATTTTCGATAGGATTCAAGATTTTTCAGAGCAATATTGTCGCCCGTCTTAAAGAATTCACAATTCTATGTCTTGGAGAGTGGACAATTACTAGATCTCTTCCTGAAAACAGCTGAAATTCAAGTCCCTTTCGTTTGAGTTTTATTACTCTTCTCTCTTTTGGCACATGATACTTGCAAATATATTTCGACTCTGGCGTTTTTTCAAACCCATAAAATGTCTTTATTTGATTTTAACTTTTTGACTTTTTAATCCCTAGATCTGACCATTTCACAGACCGCACAGCGCATTACACCATACTGTGTATGGCTTATAGAGTAATAAAATTTAAGATCTTCATGCCTTTTAAAATAATAATAATATAAAAATATATGTGTATACATAAATTTGTGAGCATAAAATAAGTGTGTATATTGTATATTGCCTTTATTGTCTAAATTTGGCATTGAGGTGTATATATTGGATATTGTAGATATAATTGTATATATTTGATATTGCTATTATTGTCTCAGTTTGACATTAAAATTTGAATTAAAAGTTCCTTGAATTTTCAATGTTAAATTTGTTTCTATTTATTTATGATACTGGGATTTTATCCACTTTTGGAATAAGAGGCTGGGATTTGTCCGCTGGATATTGTCCGTTGAGATTTTGTCCTGTAATACATCCAATTATATCTGAAAAATTCCCACCATTTACCATTGTTAATTCAGAACTTATTGCTAACTTTTTTTTTAATGCATTTTCTGTTACGTGCGCAATAAGCACTGATCTCATTATATCAGTAATCATCTGCGATGGTAGACGATATACGCATTTGACAGACGCAATATACCTTGTAATTTTCAGAAAAAGCTTTATAATAAATCTCCTTCTCGATATGAAATCCGATTGAAAAAAAATGTGACAACAAAAGGCAAAAGATGAACAGCGAGAAAACAAGATTCATCGCCAATGGAAAATGGCACCCATAAAGGTGAATGGATGGTGCAACAAATGTTTTGATTTTTGATTGACAGAAAAAACACGAGACTCGGCCGTGAAAGCAAAATAACATGTGTCATATTTTAATACTTCAAGAAAATTAAATTTTGGCATTAAATAACCCATGAGGAGTTGATATGCCGTTAAACAAACAAACTAATCAACAAGACAGGAGGAAGCCGACGAGGTGAAAGAGTGAATTTGTGGGCATTTGAACTTACGGTTCTGTGATTTTGTGACAGTTTGCTACATGTAAAAAGTACGGTATCCACTGAGTGCTCTCCTACTGTAGCCTTATACCAGACGAAGCTAAGTAAAAGTATATTTCTTCTGACTAATGACCGAGATACCAAATGAGTCTCGTAGACCATTACTAGAGTAGCAGGTTCAAGTCTTGTTGATTGATTACTATTATTATTATAATCCTGGTTCTACCATTGGCGGTTTCAGATAGGCATTTTTCAGAACTCTTTACTTTTACTAGACGAGATTTTTAAAATATTATTATTACTGAAATGAATTTGCGATCTGGTCATCATATACTCATTGAAGAATACATTATACGTGAAAGCTCCAGGCAAATTTAATATTAGTTTGTACCACGTTAAATGTTGAATATGAGCTTAGAAAATTAAAAAAAAAACAATAACTGGAATTCAAAGAAATTCCTTTTAATCAAAATATGAATTTATGTTTATTGTGTGTTTCATTTTCCATCCTTAGTAATGTCACATTTTTTAAACTGGTTATTGTAGGGCGTTGCTCAAAAGGATGCAATTTCAGATTTTTCAGTAAAGTCTTCCTGAATCGATTTCTTAGCAGTTACTTAATGTAAAGAGAATTATGTTAATTGCATTCGTGTAGATTCATTTATTCAAGTTCTTCAAATTTTTATTGCAGCCAAATAACGGAAAAGAGATTTCCTTAAAGAGCTCAAATCATGTCGTAGTTTTACAAAACTTGGTTGTCTTTCCTTGAATCTGCTATAATTTATGTACATGTCAAAATAAAAAAAAAAAAAAAAACGCTAGTCTGGTGAAAAGCGTGAAAATTAAGCCGCCTCGCGAAACTTCCGATGCAAATAGACTTTTCACTCTTTTATGGCTAAATCATTAACACAGTGATGAATTATCTAATAAGATATTACCTAATTAGAATTATGTCTTTTTATGTTTTCACTCAGATAATGTAACTCTTATTTACATTCAGACATTCCTCATCTTTGTTGTTGTGCCATCTGGCTTTCTTCGGGTGTCTGTCGATCCGGGTAACCTTCAAGGAATTTCGAAGTAAACATCTACACGGTTAAATTCTTCTCATTTCCGATGTCCATCTCTAGAGATATTTCGTCTTATTCCTTTTTAGTTCTGCACAGTCATTGCATGCCGTCTTTCCACTGAATTTGCCTATTAGCGCAAGGCCCAGAGATTGAACTTAGAATTATTATGCTGCCAATTTTACGAATCAACCGGACCAGTGGAAATTCAGTGAGCGATAACTCAGCGATACTAGATAATACATTCATTCATTTTCTACAACTTATGAACCTACTGTATGTCATTTAAAGCCAGAAAATATTTTTAGATTGTAAGAATTTTTATCTTTTTTGGATAATAATAGTTTAGTGATAAAAGCTGGGGGAGGGGAGAAGTGAATACATACCTAATCAGAATTTGATAAATAAGAAATTATTATGTCGATATAAAGTGGGGGATCAATTTATATTACAGTCAATATATAAAATGATCCCTCACTTTGTAGACACGGCAGTTTTTATTCATTTATATTCCAGAGAACTTAAGTAAATCTAAAAGACATGCCTCTGTAGCTAATCCGTATCTCACTGATTGATTCGCTTTCTACTCTTTGCCGGTTATTTACACACAGAAAATATTTTAGATTGTAAGAATGCTATTTGGGTGGATAATAATGATTTAGTAATACAAGTCTTACTAATTAACCCATAGCTAGAGGGAGAAGATGTGAATTCATATCTTCGCCAAGGTTATTTGTGCGTAAAGTGAATATAACAAACCCAATTGGAATTGGAACTCGGCTATCCGATTTCCAATTCAGAGAGATTATCCATTAAACCAGTCGCACATTTAAGCTTACAGTTCCTGGTATTCTCAAGCGGTTACCCATCTAATGTACTGACCAGGTTCGACGTTGCTTAACTTCGATGATCGTACGGGAACCAGTGTTTCAATGGGATATGGTTGTAAGCCTCAATACTAAATAACGAAAATAACGAGATATTTGTAAATATGGACAGCGGAAAAAAGAACAATCTAACTCCATGGATTAAATAAAGGGCTCAGTTCAAAATTCGCTGAAGATTACCTGGAACGACAAACACCCGAAGAAGAACAAAGATGAGGATATTTGTCTAAATGTAAATTATACAAATACTTAAATGGTTAATGATTATATAAGAATAGTTGGGTAAATTTATCTCCAACTGCCATTGACAAACGTTGATCTTTTTCGAACCTCATTTTGAATATTTTCATCTCCAAAAAGAAATTTCTGCAACTACCATTCTATTTATAAAGTACTTTTTCGCCTACCCTTCTCTAAATACCAAATAAAAGTTTCTCTCTACGCCAACTGAATTATGTACCAAATGAAACTGATGAAAATAGAGTCGCCATGTTTTCCCTCCTGAAGACATATTTTTTAAAGTAAAGGAACAACATTTATTTATGTGACCATCAGAAAAAAATGAAAGCCAGACTGAATCTACAAAAGCAAATGACACAATACACACCTTCTTCAGTTTATCTTGACAAGACTAAATCGGGAATTGTCGAGTATCCTGAGACATCATGCCATAAAATCTATGAGTTGAAACGCCAGAACAGGTGAAGTTGTATTTTCTCCGTAGCAAAAAGAAACAAGAAACAGACAAACGTAAATCTTACCAAATGACTCATTGCTTAAAGACTTTTACAGAAGCAATAAATTCTTCGTATTTAATGGAAATCCGTTTAAGATGAGACATTTTCCGAAGGTATTCTAAACGGAATGCTGACGATTTCCAGCCGAAAAATTTTCGAACAATTTAGTCGGTCGCTTAAAATGCATTCATCTCCTCCCCGAGATCTCTTTAAAACTAACAATCTCTCAACAAACCAATCCGTCTGTCCTTGTAGAACGTCCCAAACATTCAATGTTCCGACAACTCCTATCTCAACTCCAAGATATATTTCCAAAAATTTCGGAGATGAATAGGGAACGAGGAAACAGAAAGAGGAGGGCATGAATATATTTAGCCGGGTGAGATGAGAGAAATATATTAAAAGAAGGATTTAAGATGGGAAGAGATTAAAATAATAAAAATTCGGACAATGAAGAGAAAAGAATAGTGAGGAAAGAGTAAAGAAAGAATTTTTAAGACAGAAAAGGTTTTATCGAAACGAGAAAAAAAATGAAGACAAAACTTGGAGCAATTTTCCAAAAGATGAGAGTGAGAATTTAATAGAAGAAGAAAGACGAGAAATGAAACAGAGTTGAATAGATGAGAATAATATAGGCATGAGAAGAAGAAAAGAGTGAAGAAACAGATAGCAAAAATGAGGTGAGAGATATAGGCTTGAAGTTGAGGAGAGAGAGAAACGAGGAAGAAATATATAAGGAGAATATAGTCGTACGAATAGAAGAATGCCGAATGAGGAAAGAGAGTACAAATGCAGACACAGAGTATAAAATATAGACATCAGGATAAACACAAAATAGAGAACCAAAAATAGACATAAAATATAAGCATAAGAGTAGAAATATGACGGGAGGAGTACAAACGACGAGAGGGAGAATTTAAGGCTTAGTGTTGAAGAGAGACGGGACGGGAAATAGAGTACAAGATATGAGAGGTAGAATTTAAGGCTTCGAGTAGAAGAGAGACGGGACGGGAAATAGAGTACAAGATATGAGAGGTAGAATTTAAGGCTTCGAGTAGAAGAGAGACGGGACGGGAAATAGAGTACAAGATATGAGAGGTAGAATTTAAGGCTTCGAGTAGAAGAGAGACGGGACGGGAAATAGAGTACAAGATATGAGAGGTAGAATTTAAGGCTTAGTATAGAAGAGAGACGGGACGGGGAATAGAGTACAAAATATGAGAGGGAGAATTTAAGCCCTAATGTAGAAGAGAGACGGGACGGGGAATAGAGCACAAGATATGAAAGGGAGAATTTGAGGCTTAGAGTATAAGAGAGACGGAACAAGAAATGGAGTACAAGATATGAAAGGGATAATTTAAGGATTGAATAGAAAGAGACGCGAAGGAATGTACAAGATATGAGAGGGAGATTTAAGGCTTAGAGTAGAAGATAGACTGGACGAGAAATAGAGTACAAGATACAAGACAATTTAAGGCTTAGTGTAGATAACATACGGACTGGAAATAGAGTACAAGATATGAGAGGGAGAATTTAAGGCTTAGTATAGAAGAGAGACGGGACGGGGAATAGAGTACAAAATATGAGAGGGAGAATTTAAGGCCAAAAGTAGAAGAGAGACGGGACGAGAAATTGAGTACAAGATATGAGAGGTAGAATTTAAGCGTTAGAATATAAGAGAGAAAAGGCATGCGGTAAAGAATTTAAGCGTTGTCGAATAGAGGCGGTTTCGGAAATAGAGTATATGTGTTAAGGCAAGTTGAACTTGGATACAGAGAGAGAGAGAGAGAGAGAGAAATAAGATATGCCTCGCCCTGTAGAGCAATAATTAATAAATGCATATCACACAATAATGAATTTGGTCTTCACTAAATGCTCAACACACCCGACCTTCTACCAGACTAATCAAAGCTTCTTAAATACCAAGAATAATAAGAAAATTGTATACAGAGAGAAACAAAAAAGAAATTAAATAAATGATAAATGTAAATGACACAATGTGCATGCGAAAGTGAGAGACAGTGAGAGAGAGAATGTGTATGCGAAGGAGAGTTAAAGTGATAGAGAAGGTTTAGGCAAAAGAGAGAGAATGAGAGAGAATCTGTATGCGAAAGAGAGAGAACGTGAGAGAGAAGGTGTATGCGAAAGAGAAAGTGAGAAAGTGTATGCGAAAGAAAGAAGAAGTGAGAGAGATAGTGTATGCGGAAGAGGAAGAAAGTGAGAGAGAATGTGTATACAAAAGAGAGAGAAAGTCTATGCGAAAGAGAGAGAAAGTGGGAGAGATAGTGTATGCGAAAGAGAGAGAATGCGAGAGAGAAAATGTATGCGAAATAGAAAGTGAGAGAGAAGTTGTATAGAATAAGGAATAGATACAAAATGAGAGTTATAATGTATGCAAAAGAGAGTGAGAGGTAGTGAGAGGTATAATGTATGCGAATGAGAGAGAAAGTGAGAGAGAAAGTGTATGCGAAAGAAGAAAAAACTGAAAGAGAAAAGTGATTGAAAGTGTATGCGTAAGAGAGAAAGAGAGAGAAAAAATGTATACGAAAGAAAGAAAGAAAGAGTGAGAGAGAAAGAAAGTGAGAGAGAAAGAAAGTGAGAAAGAAAGTGAATGCGAAAGAGAGATAGAGAAAGCGCAGTTATGGAATAAAGATGTGGAAGGAAGAGGTGTGAACGTGAGAGAGGGAGAAAAGAGGGGAAACAAGGAAATTTCCGTAAAGTGCGATTTGAAGAGAATAAAACAAACGAAAAAAGAGAGTGGGGAGGTAAGGAAAAAGAGAATGTATTTATTAAACCTGAAAAACAAGACAAGAAAATAACGAGACAGACAGACAGTCAAGCAGACAGACTTCGTTCGTTCACTTTTTGTTGATTGATACTATGATCGAAGTCAGTGAATGGCAAAAAATGCAACCCACTTGTTGCAAGCGGCCAGTATGCTTTTCTAAACACCACGCCTTACTTTCTCACTCAAACTTTCTCACACATAGCCACAAATATAACAATCATTAAGTACAATGTATCTTGAATTTTGTAACACTAGAATTTTTTGCAATACGCTGACGTGTGATGAAATCCTCACACTATTTAATACTAGTGGGGATACCCGGTGTTGCTCGGAAGAAGTAACTTCATCTTAGGTTTCATTACTATGTTGAAATTCAGTAACATGTTGATTCATTGTCTTGATAATCAATCTGCTACCATTGCAAAAACTTAGGGGTCTCAAGAAAATGGCTGGAGGTCTCACTTTTACTGAATGAGATTGTGAAGTGTCATACCAGATGGTTGGAGGGAATTATATACAAATCTTTTTTTTTTTTTTTTTCAGAAACAGAAAATAATTATAGGGTGGACATTCCACTATTTATTAAAGTAAATATATTGTCTATGTATTTTATCAAATTAACACCAATAATTATTTTTCATTAAATCAGAAAATAATTACTTCATTTAAAATACTTTACTTGGTTTCATAGTGATTTTTGAAAAGGTATTTTACGCTTAAGTTATTTCTTGTCAGCAAAGTAAAAAGTAAAGACAAAGACTGATTTCATGAAAAACAATTGTTAATCTATACATATATAAAGGGTAATTGTCTGTATGATTGTGTGTGTGCGTATGTGTGTGTGTGTGTGTGTTTGTTTGTGTGTGTGTGTGTGTGTGTGTGTGTGTTTGTGTGTGTGTGTATGTGTGTGTGTGTGTGAGAGAGAGAGAGAGAGAGAGTGTCCAGGCTAAAACTAAAAACTACATTAATTAATAACAAAGGAAATATATAGAGAGAGACTCAATATCAACCAAGCCAGCTTTTTGTAAAAAAAATTTCATTGTGTGATTTTTATTTACGAAGATATTTTAAAATTAAAATGCATTAGAATGCATTCGAAATTCTCAGAATTAAAAAGTAAAAACGAACAGTAATAATTCTTATTCCTGATTAGGATTACCGTTTGTTTTTATTTTCTTATTCTGCTGATACTTTCGAAACGCCATACATGCATGTGTTTTTTAAATTTCTATTCTCTTGAATTTATTTTTATAATATTAAGCTGTTTTTTTTCAAATAATTGTATTTAATATTGTTCTTCTTTTAAATTTACTTTGTTGTTTTAATATTTTTTTTAAGTTACGCTTTTGTTTACTATAAATATGGAAATAAATTCAAGAGAATAGAAATTTTAAAAATACATATAGCGTTTCGAAATTATAAGCAGAATTAAAAAGTAAAAACGAACGGAAATAATAATTATTCCGGTTCGTTTTTACTTTTAAATTCTGAGAATTTCGAATGCATTCTAATGCAATTATTACGTATTTTTAATTTTAAAATATCTTCGCAAATAGAAATCATACGATGATATTTTTTACAGAAAGGTGGGTGATGCTGTGTCTGTACATATATTTATTTTGTCGTTAATTATTGTAGTTTTTTAGTTATAGCCGGACACACACACACGAGCGCGCATACAAACAACTGCCCTTTATATATGTATAGATAGATTGTTGAAGTTATCGCTTCCTCAGCCCATTTGAAACTTTCCCTATTGTGTTTATATTTACACTGCCACTAATGTGCCTTATATTTTACCAGAATTAAATATATATAAAAACTTAAAGAAAAGATATAAAAAAACAATATTGCATTTTTATTAAATATATATTTGTTATTTTAATCATTAAATTGTTTTTTTTTAAATAGTCGGAGTATTTTGTATGTTAATTAATAAAACTTTTAATCTTTCCAAAAAGAATAATTAAAATTTATTGTACTAAGCTACATAAGCTGGTAAAACCATCTATACTTTGTACCCCCCCCCTTACCTGTTTGCACTTCCCCAAAATTTGGTTTCGATTGGTCAATATGGCTATTTTAGGCGGTGTGACAGACGGATTAATGGAAATCACAGAATTTTATATATAGTTAGATTTCGTTGAAGGTTAGATTTTCAACATTTTAAACCACTGACATTTTTCACTATGGAAGGCCGTAAGTATAAACACCTTCATAAACTTTCATAATGATTTTATTTTCTCTAGAGAACAAATATATTTTTCTTAATTGTTTTTTCTTTTTTTGTCATGTTGGCAAATGAATACATTAGAAACAAATCACTGTGTCATCCATGATAATATTATACCAAGACATCAATCTTTCAATTCTAGAAAAAATCTTTTATCCAAAGGTAAAAAAAAAACAACAACTTTTCACTATTTCTTACGCTGATAATTTTTTCTACCGGGATAATGGTTGTGTTACCTTCAACGAAAAATTATCTTGATATATATTTTTTTTTTTTTAGTTTTGTGCACCGTGGCTTATGATCAGCTCTATCTCATACGGCCCACTGCTTAAAAATGGTTACCCATGCCTAATCTAATTGATCGTCGGTAACCTGTGCCAAGCTGTTTATGACACGCTTCACTAGATTAAAGATAATTTCCTTGCGGTAGACATCTCCTCTCTAAAGTAACAACTAACGTGGAGAAAAGAAAGAGAAGTGAGAAAACGAGACCAGAAGAAAGATTTTTTTTTAAAAAAAACTTGGCGCGAAGAACGACAGAACAAATTAGGCACCTTGAAATGATTTTCAAAATAAGCGGGAGAAATCTGATACATCATCGCTTTTATAAGAATACCGGTCATTATTCTGTCCAAAGAGTGACCATTACAATTCAACTCCCGCTACCCCTACGAACAAAGCCATTTCTTATCTGCTTGCGTTAAGGAGATAAGGAAGATTTGCCAAAAAAGTGGGATTCTTTTAAAACGTGTAAACCGATACCATTTCTAAACATGCTGGAATCTTTGAAAATAATGAACAGAGTCATGAAAAATGTCAGTAGACACCGACATAGCGAAACAAACTTTCTTCGCGAGGTAACCCATTTAAGAATATTTCATTCTGCAAATTAAAATGAAGTGGATCTACAACGAATAGATTGTAAAGTGTTTTATTCTTTCAAACGTTCAAATTTTCAGATCTGCTATCCTCTATTTTGAAATAGCAGTCCAGCTAACACAAAAAAAAAAAAGAGGCAAATCTTCATTCCGAAAAAGATTCTGGATATGTGCTTTTCATTTTCAGGCCCGAAATGTCCCAGAAATATTGAACAGGTTTTCTTTTAATATATTCTCAACTTGTCATTCTCACGGCTTTACTAATTTCTAGTAACAAGTTCCATTAGCCGATGGAAAATGTTTTTCTTTAAACGGCTGTTAGTAAATGCTGACAGGTGTTCATCTTATAATAACTATTTTTTTGAATTGTTATTCTGAACGCTGTTTAGTCTGTGTGTGGTGATAATGATAACAGGACAATATCCCAGACGGCAAAATCCCAGACGGCAAAATCCCAGACGGCGAAATTCCAGTCGGCAAAATCCCAGCCTCTTATCCCAAAAGTGAACAAAATCCGAGTTTTTGCCCGCTGGGTTTTCTCATGGATTCAGTGCTAATGTAAACAGTCTAAAGGTTGTTTAAAAATAAAAGCATTCTCAATTCTCGAATACGGTCAGTATATTGTGGCCTTGTCCATAGTTGATGTTTTTAAGGGTTGTTTTTTTTATAAAAGATCGCCATTATTTTTAGATAGTTTTGCAGTTGGAGGTTCGTCTCAAATTTTTGTTCTCGATGAGTATGATTTATATCGAGGTTGGTGCACTTCCATGCTGTATTAAATGTACCCGTATG